TATATATATATATATATATCTATCTATCTGTGTGTGCACACGCGCATGTATGCATGTATATCTATTATCTCTGTAAAAAAATGAAGTGAATCCAGACATTTATCCTTTCATAAACATTCCAAGGAGAAGCCCACCACCCGTGTGGACTTAAGTCGCAACTATCCTCTCATACTTCTCTCTCGTTTGAACTAAATAGAGGAACGAGAGAGATAGAGAACAAGAGGTAATGGGAGAGGGAGAAAAATTGAGTATGCGAAGTCGAGGGAAGGAGTCGAGGCCGACAAGTGCAAAAGAAGAAGTGTAAGGAAGGCGGAAGAGGTGATGCGCCGCTTAATTGTGAACAATTCCTTCCATTCCCTCGAGATACGAGCATGATAAGGTCTCGAGCGGCTCTGTAGACTATTGCAAGCAGCAAGTCGGAGGAAGAGAAGCTTAGTGCGTGCGTACAGGTGCTCAACCGTGCCCTAGCCAACCACTTAAGAAGAAAAGAGGAAGGAGGAGGAGAAGAGGGGCGACATCGATGTCTGGCGATGATATCTCTTTCGAACATAGAGGAGGATCCGACGTGGGTGTCGTGCAAAGGAAGAGGGAGCGGGAGTTAGAAGAAGATCTCACGTGTAGCCGCGATCGAAGGAGCAAGGATCGAAGAAAAGGAAGAAGTGGTTGTGTGGCTTTGCGTGGCTGGACTATGGTAAGGTTTTACAAACTTTAATTTATGAATTTAAAATATTATTAATTATTAAAATAAAATAGGATTCTAGCTATAGAACTTTGGCTTTTGGATCAAGACAATGGTGACGACAACAAAGAAAGGTTAAGGCGAGTTAAGGTTTTATCATGTTACTGTAGGCCTCATTTTTGGTGATGTCTAGTCTTCCTCTTAGAATTTAGGATCTTGCTTTGGTACTTTTCTATTGACTATCCTAGAAGACTAGTGATGAGACCCACCCCTTTTAGACTTTCAAACCATTTTTGGACTCTATTTGTGAAGTTTCACATGGGTGGTCGTAAACCTCCAACACTCGGGTGGATGAGAACAACATGTTGAAGACTCAAAATAGGAGCTCGCATAGGATCATGTGGCCTTAGGGACACCTTTCTTGACCTTAGATGGCTTGGTCACAACTTCACAGACACTTTACTCTCCCTCACCAAAATTTGCTCCAAATTATCCAAATTATCTGCCCAAATTCAAATTCACATCAATTTATATCAAATGCCACACAACATTCAAAATCAAATTCCACCAAATTTCAAGCCTTAATGCCAAATTTGTCAAATTTACATCAAATTTCCTTCAACATTCAAAATCAGATTTGATTCACATCAAATTTCACATAAATCTAAAATCGTCAAATTCATACTTGAATTTCCTTCATGACTAGAAAAAGCACCAAATCATCAATTGCCTTGTGCCATGTGTCTATAAGTTGAATTGAAGTGGAGAAGGAGTTTAGGTTAGGTTCGGGCTTGATTTGGGCTAAACTCACGTTAATACTGCTGCAAACCCTCCCAATAACACCATAATACAACGATGGAAACCACTAATAACATCGCAATACAACCAAGTTAACACCGCAATACTACCATGCTACAACCACAATAACCACCAATGCATAACCTCGCAGTATTGCGTCACAATCCCGCAATAACACCGAAAAACTATTGCAATACTACCAAACTACCACCGCAATAACACTTCAATACCGTGCCGCAACTTCCCAATAACATCGCCATACTACCGCATACTACGCCATACCACCACCCCTGCGGTTCCACGTAATTTCCCCAATAACACTGCAATACAACCAAAATACTACCAACAATAATACCATCCCCGCTGTTCTAAACAGTTCCTCCCAAAAACACAACATTGTCGCACAATACGACTGCAGTAACACCCACCTTTCAATTCTTCATCAAAAATAGCAAGGAACCACGATGATTTCTACGCCAATAACACCACCTCACATTCTTTTGACAATAATACCTCAATAATACGTCAAATAATACCACCAGTAACATCACTGCCACTGTTTAATGCTGATACTACCCTAATACATCCCATATAACATTGAAATAACACCACTTGATTTACATAAAATCTTGAATTTTCTCAACATGAAAAATCCCAAATTCTATCAACTCTGCACAAGTACACTTCTTTAAGTGGAATATGAGGGAATTTTTTTACATTTCCCCCCAAAAGTACTTAACCTCATTCATGTTTCACTTGAACCAAAATAAAATAAAAAATTGCCCAAAATCCCTTGGATAGAGACTTAAGCACCCATTCCCCCAAGCTGACCAGTACATTGGGAACCTTGGCGACCACTCCAACATGGTTGCATGACAAGTCAAATGCTAAATTAACCCAAACCCATTCCATTTAAGTCCAACCCTTGTACACATGGCACAAGGCAATTGAACTGGAAAATCCCAAACATGAGAGCAATCACATCGCTAAAATCCAAAATTCTACCCATTTAATGTGGCTCTCACTCCATATGAATTCTTGCTTCCACCTCAGCACCACATAATCAACCCTTTTAACCCACTGGCCAACCCAATTGAGCTTCATGGCCGAGCTTATAAATAAGCCACCCTTTATGGCCAAAATGAAGAAGTGCAGCTAACTTGGCGAAGCCTTGCCAAAATCTCTCCAAAATTTCTCACAACCTCAAAAAAGCCCATTCCCATCATCCTTTGCCATTTACATCCACTCAACAACCAAAATTTCACTACACAAAACAAGGGGTTTTTCGGCCTAAAAAACTAACTTCAACAAAACTCCAAACTAGTTGTCTCGAAAGCTTCCCCACATCGCAAAACCACTTTCCTCATCAAAATCACACTTTCCAGCGGCCTCTAAACTAATCCTAGACCAAACCCGAGCCACTTTTGGTCAAGTTCACACTTGGATTGGTTCTCAAAGGAAGCAAACACTTGGAGGAGGTTCTTGAATCAAGCAAAGCTTTTACAATCACCTAATTGAGGTCTCACCTTTTGGGCCAAGTTATAGTTTAAGAACTCCTTTTTTTACCTCGGTTTGGACCTTTGTGAAGAGAATGAACATTGCATGCTTACTTAGCCGTATAGATATGTTCTCCTTACATAGTTGATGTTTTAGAATCAAACCTAACTTGCTTTGGTTAAGTATCAAGAGAGATCTTAGCATTTTAGTGTGGACGGTTCTCGGGCTAGGGTTAGTTTGGGATGATAACTAGATACCGTCTATTTTTTGCGTGTTTTAAATGAATGGTGGAGATCAAGTCAGATGGATGATTGAAGCATGAACCCCAGACTGACAGGGAGGCTACATAAAAGGCGTGACCAATAGAAACATGCCACATGGTCTTGTGGAGCTGGCGTGGTATTATTTGCTTTGTTCACTGGTGTTATTCCAGTGTTGTTACAGTTGTATTCAAATTGTTTCGGGTAATTATTAAGGTAGAACCAAGGCTGATGAGGCACTGACGTGGAACATACAACAAATGAGGCGGCTACACATGGAGCTTCGGACTTGCTGAGGATGATGTGGAACTGACGTGGTTAAGGTAGAAAATCCTGAAAATCAGGATTTTCTGATTTAATTAATTCAAAAAAATAATTCTAACTTTCAAAAATCATATCTTGGTATTGAAAAATCAGAAAAAAAAATAAAAATACTTCTGTGCTAAGTAAACAGAGGAGAATATTATGGACAAAATTTTAAAAATATTTACATAATATTTTATTTTAAATTAATTAAAAAAACTCTAGAGCATAATTAAATCATAAAATTTTATGGGTTTGTTCTTGATGTGATTAGGGAGTTATTCTGATTTTTTCAAAGTGAGAAGGACACCTCTAACCCTAAAAGCCCTAATTTTTTAGTAAATTTGTTTTCGTCGACTTAAAATATTCATAAAAACTTAAAAAAAATGAGAAAAATATGAAATCAACATTTTTTAGTTCTCTGAAGTCAGAGGGTTAAAAAATAAATAAAATTGTACTTTAAAATTTAAAAATAATTTATAATTATTTTTGTTTAAAACATTTATTTAAAAATCATAAAAATTAAACTATATTTAAAAAAATCACAAAGATGTCTCTGACTGATCCTCTAACCATGGGGAACACCACAATTTTTTTTAAGAACAAAGAACATATTTTGAAAAATCAAATCAATTAACATTTGAAAATCTAAATTACGTGTTTCAATAAATACAAAAAAAATAAATGAATGTCATAAAAATATAAATTCTCATTATGGTGTCTTAATTGACCCATGAGTGATGGATTAGTGAACTTTCATGTTCTTTTAAATAAAAACATGTGAGAGAAATGGGGTAGAAACCCTAGGGGCATTTTTTGAATTTCACATATTAACCCTAATTAATCTTTAGGATAAATTAGAGTGGAGGGAATTAAATAATAATGATTAATTCTTTGAAATGATTGAAACCTAAGGGCAAATAGGGTAGTAACTCATTCATGAAAATTTCTACAAAAGGATAAAATT